TCCATGAAAATTTAGGGAATTGAGCTGCCTGTTGTGCTGCTATAGAGAAGGTGTCAGAGGGTAATTGGAAGATCAATGAAAAATAGTGGTTTATGCTTCCATCAGTGATGTATTGATTGATGCATCAACCAATGTCCCACTGTGTTTGCTGCCCGCCTGCCTGCCTCTCAGTCTGTCTGTCACCTGCTTCCAAGAGAGGGAACGAGCTTCTCCATCTGCCCCTGGATCTCCATCACTCGCTCCCTGTCTGCCTTACGCTCGCTGCTTCATTGTCTCCGTCATCTCCTCCTTTACTTCTCACTTGGCTCCCTTTGTCACGCTGTTATCTGTTTTTATCAGCGTCATTTTTCCTCTGTCACACCACTCTCCTGTCACACACACCTAACTTCCCGTTCTCTCGCTCAAGCACACACTTACATATTCTCCTCTTTTCCTCGAGCGAATATGAGAAGGTGTCTGCTCCCCCCCCCCCCCCCCATATGGCCTGTCAAGTTCCAGCAGTGAGAGTGTGGGTGGTGTGTTGCATTCTAATATAGCACGGTGTTAAAAAAAAGGAAAGAAATCATATGTTGAAAGGTGGTGAAATAGGCTGTGAAGAAGAACTTCCATTAAGGAAACTGCCTTTGAATTTACCATATCTGTACAGCCGTAAAATAATCAAAGGGAAGTGTATTTTGTGGAAAATATCAATTATAAATCAATTATTTTATACAACCCAGAGGGAGGCAGCGTTAGAAGTAAGCAGGTGGTGTGTGTTGAAGGATGTGGGTAAACATAAACAATAGGTAGACTGAAGATGCTTAATCTGCAGTCAGAGATGAGAGGAACAATCCTACTGGAACTGTTGTTATCCGGTGTGATTGTTTGTCTTATTCTATAACACACAACCGTCTACAGCTGCACACACTGCCATGAAAAAAACAAAGGACAGGAAAAATATGTGCTTGAATATATGCAGTATAATAAATTCAATTGACAGAGAAAAATAGCGGGCAACAATTTTGAGAACCAATTAAATGTTCATTTTTAAGATATAATGCAGTTCAGTGAATACTAGTCTAGCGACTAGTTTAGCGAAAGATATTAAAATGTTAAAAAATGTCTTTAGGAGGTTTAGCAGGTTTGAATCCAGCAATCTTTGTCTTCTGTAAAACTGAACATTTTCAGGTTTTTGATTGTTGGTCAGATGACATTAAATTGGGCATCAAGAAATTCTAAAAAGCATTTTTATTTTTTAATACAGTTTACAAATTTTAACTTGTCTTTGAGGTGCCACTTGGATGGAAGTAGGATGTGATTAATATGTAAACAATTTTGTTTAATTCAAATCTTGCGACTGACTTGGACTGTAACTTTGTCCATATCCTTTTACAGTAATATGTATATATTTATTTTATATAGGGATAAAAAAGAGGCAAGAGTGGAAGAGAAGATTTTCTATCAGTCCTGGGTGGATTATAGGAAGTGAAATAAATAGAGCCCAGTGGACACGGTCACCTGCCATGCAGTCAAACCAATCTTTTCTGATGGAGCCAATTCTTGTTAAGGACATGTTGCTCTCAGTCCAAATTATAGCAGCATGCTGTGCTTCTACCTGCATCCAAGAAACAACAACGTCTGTCTGTTATCTGTGTTTCACAGCAAACCGGATGATGGTTGTGTTGATGGCGATAGTGGTGTAGGATGGCACATACTGGAGCGCTAATGACAAAACAGCCCCATCGACTGTTCAACGGAAAATAAAATGGTGTTGATGTGTGTGGGAGAAGCTGCCATGCTGGGAGATATTATAGCCTTGTATTGACTGAACACATTATTTGATTGTTTCGGGTTCTACTGTATTTCATTCTATCCTATTTGTATGTTGGCACAGATTCAGTATGAGAGCATTATCTCATCATAGAGGAATATTGCATCAGTACATACGAGGCAGATAAACGCATGAATCTACTTCATGCACGGAGGGAGTCTCCATCCGTGAGCGGTAGCGTTACCCTGACAACCTCCTTTGGTTTACTGCGGGATTCAGCCAGATGATGAATAATGGAGAAAGGTCAGGATAGATTTTCAGTGGATTTATACACCACATGGCCGTGGCTGCATCAACAGGGATTCTGGAGCGATCAGTTCTACTACAAAGGGCGGGGTTTGTTCTTGCCTGAACGGGGGCGGGGGGGTCGTTAAGGGGAGGTAGCAGTATATGCCACATAGAAGTGTACATTACCTAAATCGAAAGATTAATTTGAGATGCAGCTCAGCGGTGTGTCTTAAGTTGTTCTAGTCATGAATCAGATATTTAAACACAATGATTAATTAATCAAAATATGATGATGAAAGTAAGAGCCATTCCTATCCTCCATTATGTCTCATATGAGCACTTCTGCTCAGAAACACCGATAGTGTCAATATACTTGAGCTTTAGTTGTAATTTCCTTCATTTTAATTGTGCAAAAAAAGCAAATCTCTTCAGTCATTAGCAACGTAAGTCGTCGTTTCATGTTTCAAAGTGGTGCAAAGTTGGGTTTCCACATGAATAAAACGCTGATTGCTCGCTGCCTGATATTAGGAGCTTTACAGTAATCCCTCTCCTTAATAAGCTGTTTCATATGCCTCATAATTCAAAAAGGGGGTCAGAGTGAGTCTTAATCATTCATTCTACGTCTGTTTCTGCTCCAAAAGGCGGGTTGTCGTGACTTTTAATGTGTTCTTTTAATGTATCACAGTGTGCGATGTGGGAGATGTAATTTAGAGAGTGTCGGCAGCAACCAAGGCTGAGAGTCGTGTCCCTCAGTTGACACCAAGTAAACAGTCACTTAGCTTGCGTGTCCCTGTCCACCCCCATAACGCTGATGGAGACTAATGATCACACCCATGTGTAATTGCTCTGACGTCTCACGGTGACGGATCATATAGAGCAGTAAATCGGGAACGGCTTTAAGCCCAATCCAGGGATGGAAATTAGAAACATTCATCCATTATGGAAGGTTCTATGTTTTTTCAACTCGACTTTTCATTTTGGGGCGTGTGGGGGAAACAGATACAAGCATGCACAACAGACATATCTACACTGGCATATGTGACCTGGCAGACAGTACTGTTTTCAAACACAGCTATCCTTTGCAATTGATTTGCATATTTCTAATTAAATGCTCAGAAGGACCCAATCAGGATGTCAAGTAGAAAGTAGGAGGAAATAAATCCTTTTATATGTTAATCTACACCATTATGTAGCCTGCCAGGGAAATGAATATTTTACACCTCAAATTACACAGAGGTATTTGAGACAGGGCACAGAAATAAATGTGTTATTCCATCATTTTAGATTAGCTGTGCTTTTTGGCTGCTATTAAGCATTGTTCACACTGCAGATGTATTTGGATTGCTGATAACATTTCATAGTTCCTTGTTGTGAAAACTGACCTGAACATTTTGGTTTGTTTCCGGCTTTTTTTCTTACTAATATGTTTCCTTCATGCCAGACATTGAAAGGCTTAATTTGCACACTTGAAGGCCTCAAAGCTGCTTGCGATCTCAAAAAAATGCAATCCACAAAACAGTTTGCCACCTTCCTATTTACAAGAAGAAAAGGAAGAGCTTTTGTTTCTTTCGTTCTTCTGCTTCTCGCAGAAAACAGCTGGAAGCTAATTGATTTCTCTCGTTGACTTGAGTGCACTGGCACAACTGATTGATTCATGAGGCTGAATCAAAAATAACATACACAACAACTGAACTCCATTGCAGTTACACTCTCACGATAATCAACACCAGAGTCCATATGGATTGTCATTACCGGCTGGGCTGAATTTAACATTTATATACTGTACATAATAATATGGGAAATATTTATGCAAATTAAGATCAAACAATCAAATCGATGTTCAATGCTATGGCATTGTCATGCATTTCACGAGACAAAACCCTCACATTAAAAGCAATAACTTTTGTAGTTTTTATTAAAAATGTGCTTGAAATAATAAATATAGACATAAAACAGTCGTAAAACATAAAATCAGTTAGCATGTCCAAATGCTCTATATATACAGTATGTACTGTATATATGCAAAAACTATAGATAAAAGCCAAATGAATGTAATGTCATGATGTTAGTCCACTGAGACCTGATACAGACTTGATTATGGCCCAGTCCTACTTCAGTAAGTCTTTATGGAGACACAGCTTGTCATAATGAAGTCCTTTATATTAAGCTCACATCACATGACTAAATTTCCCCTTCTGCATGACAGGAGGTGATATCTTTTAGGATTACAAGAAGATTTTACGTAAGCCGAGACAAGTCTGTTGTAGCTTTAGTGCTCTTTTACTTTTGCAGAACATTTGTAATCGAATAAGGAGGGAACGTCTGAAAACCTTTTAAGCATATTAATTAAACATTATTTATTTAAGAAACCTAATGAGAAGATCATATTTGCAATAGGACTTTTTCACTGAAGACGTTCTTTTTAACATGTGAGAGTAGGAAAAGCACAGGTCTAAACGACGGACTTAAAGACAGCTGAATTACATTTATCTGCTTCAGTTTCAGGGTCGTGGTATTGTGCATGCTGGGTCACTGACTCGCTGTCATGGCTTACTGGGACACTTGAAAAGAACAGAGCCATTGTTCATGTTATTAGTAGCACCGGTGCTTTTCCTATTATGATAAATGTGTTGTGCGAAGAGTCTATTATACTATGAGGCATAGGTCTTGGTACCCTCTCACAACCTGAGTCATCCATCACGCAACTCAACAGGAACACCTTGCCTTGAGGAGCCATTCACCTCAGTCAGCAGCATCCTACCGTACCATTTATTATGACTACACACACACACACACACACACACAAGTGCACACACACACTAGTGCACACATTCCATCTTTTTCACTGTCTAACCCTACCCTGCCTCACATATATAAAACACACACTCTCAATCCTGCTCTATTGCTCTGGCATACACACACACACACACACACAATGACCAGCGTTTGTCTTCCCCCCCAGGTGACGATTCTCATCATCCTGGCCCTGGCCTTCCTCGCCTGCATCGTGTTCCTGGTGGTTTATAAAGCCTTCACCTACGACCACGCCTGCCCAGATGGATTCATTTACAAGGTAAGACCCATAAGTGGCTAGTATTTCATTTTACAGCGTTACAACACACCTACTCACAGTTCAGAGAAAGTCAGGTGGTTAACAGGGCAGCTGGAAAGTACACAGGGTTGAAAGTAAGCCTACACAGGATGAGTAAAGTGGAGCTGCAACTACGCATTGTGGTTTCCGTTTGTAGACGAGTAATATTGACAAATAAAGTTTGAGCAGGCTGTGGTTAAATGAAGGTAAACAGTCCGTGTGGAGAGCAAAAGAGGCAGAACGCATTGGCCGAAATGCAATCTCGAAACAATCTTGTGAAACAATCTGGTCAAGTTGCAAATTGGACTGTAGACCATGAGAAACACACGGAAAAGAAAGTTAATTCGTGAACTTTGGAGATTCTAGCAGGATTTTGTTATTTTTTAACAGAGCCTGTATCTGTTTAGTCTTGTTTTTCTTTCTTGTTTCCAGTGTTTAACATTCAGTCTCCTTCTCCAGTCTTTACATTTAATGGACAGATGTGAGAGTGGTATCAATGTTCACAAAATTAATAAACACATTTCACAAATTTATTTCTTAAGTAACTGACCAATCAACTATTCTATAGTTATATATCCTCTATACCTAAGTGTCCTATCTGCCCTTCACCATCTCCCTCTCTACAGTCTTTCCTGTCTAAATAAAGAATTAAAGGGGAGCACATTGCCCAGTCGCCTCAACTCCCGCCCTACTTTGACTCATTTCTGAGGTCATGTTAGAGGAAGCGAACCAGGCTCATAAGAAAGGCAATCATCAATCAGTGATATCAGTGATTTTTTTATGACCAGTATAATTAAGTGTAATTTAGGCTTTTGTTCCCTGACACAGAAGCCAAAGAAAGAGACTCTATTGAGGCTGCTCGCATATGTCATTAGCCATGTCGACTATTCGATGCAAATTAGACTTACTGCCTATTTCACAATAATGTCTACATTATGATTACTAACCCCCAATTTATATGGATTTGGTCATAAAAGAAAATGGCTCATACAGACATTCTTATCCAACAATATGCTTTCCAGATATACACAGTATTAGTGTTGAATCTTTAAAGTTTTGCTGCATGTGATGGAGACAGCCTCTCCTCTCCTCAAGTTTGTACTTTGTGAGAGGTCACCTTGTCTGTGTCTCTGGACAAATCGGGTCTTTGACGGTGGAATAAATCTAGTTTCAGGCCCAGAGGCCTCAGCAGGGGCTCTGCCTGCAGTCTGCAAAGGTATTATTAGCAGTGTCACATGTGTGTTCACCGGGTACAAAAGGGTAGATAGAAAAACCTGCACTCGCTCACACAGTATGGCACATACACTACACAACTGCAAAAAAGGTTATTAATGTGTGACCACACTAAAGCACATTATAATGCTCTATGGACTCAAAATACACTAATATGCACATGCACTACAGTATTATGCCCTGTGGGTCCCCTCCCCTCCAAATGTTCCTGCATAGAGCTATACTATTAGATTCAGTTATGTAAAAGGCTTCTTGTATTTCTTCCCTTTTCCCTCGAATAAAAACAGGAATGTATAAAAATACAGATTAAAGGCTCAGTACCCCCCCCCCCCCCATCATCTGTTATATATATTTATTTTTCTCTTTCTCCCTCGCAGCACAAGAGGTGTATCCCAGCGTCTCTGGAGGCCTACTACGCTGCCCAGGATGCTAACTCGAGGGGCCGTTTCTACACAGTGATCAGCCACTACAGCATGGCCAAGCAGACCACCTCGCACTCTGTCACCCCCTGGCTGCCCGGAGGGGCGGCGGGGCAGCAGCATGACGCTAAACCGCCCACTGGCGAGGGCCACTGAGTTAGCCGAGGGGTGTTGTAAACACATGCAGACATGAAGAAACACAGACACAGGCAGATAGAGACGCACACACACAAACATGTAGGTGAACATTTTTCGTAGATATAGATAAAAGAGACACACAACAGATACAAATACAGTATAACGCCAGTATAGAGTGAAAACATGCATGCAGGCATAAAAACACACATGCTCGGTCATATTCTGATTTCCCCAGACTGCCCATTTATGTGCTCACTTCCTTATTCGGGCGCATTCCCATTGTACCTTTGCCATTTTGGGATTATCATCGTCTGCTGATACACACTCCCACATACAAACAGTCTGCTCTCTCGTTACTATGTTTTTAATCCCTTCCTCTAATTTATTATTTATTGACTGTCTTGATATGTTTATTTTTTACTGTAATGTATGGATGATTTGTATGTGATTATCTTTGTACAAAGGCACGAGTCAATGCTGAATTTCACACTTTCTCTTAGTGAGATTCTCTGAAGTTTGAAGTCGTTTTTTTTTTTTTCCCAAGTGTGTTACTGTAGTTAATGTATTTTCATTCACGGGCCCTTTTCTCAGATCACTTCATATTCCGACCCCAAAAACTGTCAGTATGGTCTTGTATTGCTGTAACACATTTTTTAAACACAACATTTTAGCTGCACTGTCTGAGGAAGGTTTGACGCCACAGTCCACGTCTACAACACGTCCTGAGTTGATCGAATACATTTTTCCATCATGGCTGTTTGATAGCTCATATACAGTGACAAGTCAATGTGCTGTGTTATACATTTTAAATCCTGATATCTCCCAGTGACCCAAGCTGTACATACAACTGTGTGCTCAGGCTAGTTTTTTTTGTGTGTGTATGCATTGTAGTAGCTTTTATTAGGAGGTTTTTATTTCTGTTTTTACAGATCTACAATTCTTTCATGCAAGTTACGTACATATTGCTTCAGTGTTGTAGCTCCATTAAACACAATGTTGCAGTTGCAGATGGGAAAGGAAACACCGTGCATATCACCATCTCTTGCCCACACTGTTATTTTCCGCTGAGATTTGCTACGTTTATTGATGGGCTTCAACTGCAGTCGAGTTCTGTTCCTGTACCGTTATTTTTCATTATGTAATGTTGGATCTGTTGTCAAGAGCGCTTTTATGAGATATTGTGATGTCGTTAGTTGATATGTAGCGATACCTGGTGTAATTTATCAGTGTGCATCCTTGTCCCTGTTCTCTTGGTTTGAATTCAAAATAAAAGAAGCTGTGACCTGTACTGTGTGTGTGTCTATCAGTCCCACTTACCACTGTCTCTTTAGCACTCACACAACGCCTAATGCAGCCCCGAGGCAGTGCAGCGAGGGCTTTTCATGAAGCACATTATATTATTCAGATCTTCATACTCCTACTCAAATTCATACTACATTAGATATGTAGTCTGCTGTCCGTGTATAGGACGTTCCAGAGCATCTGTAATGGCTACGGGATACATTATTCATCAACATAGTGTACACTGTTAATGGCAGATAAGGACTATGTTTCAGTGTCTTCAGTGAGTGACAAGAAAAGCTGACTTTTTTTTAATTACAGGCTTGTATTCTAATTATTCTGTCAGCTGTCTGTGTTTTTCCCCTACGGAGGAGTGAAACATCCGCTGAATGCAACAGAGCTTTCAGCAAAGGAGAGAAGAAAACACAGCAAGGAGAAAAAGACAAAACATTTGAGCTGTCTAGGAAATTTTAAGAGCAATAAGTAAGTTCAGAATCTCCCATGAATGAAGTTGGCACCATATGATTCAATCAGTAAGAGGAGACGCGCACAGTCACACCATGTTAAGCAGAATGAGACAGATAATGTAACAGTAATACTTACGTGTTCAGGGTTTTGATCCTGAAGTTTGCAGTTTTCTTCACTCCCACATGGATACACAACAGAACTGACTCAGAGTCTATAAGAATTGGACAGATGGTTGCAAATGCTTACACAACGCCAACACAACACTGACATGTTGTGAATTTAGGGGTCAGGTGATTTCCTTCAAATGCCAACCGACGTCGGAAACAAAGAGACCAAGGTTTATGACTAAACTAAGAAATTAGTTAATAGTATATCTTAAGATATAGAAAGAAAGATCCCACTTACAACTGCTCATTCCATATTGTCAACGCTAAGAGACGATAATATGTAGGATCTTTGAAGCTCACTGATTTTAGCAGAACTGCTTAATATGAGATCCATTTCTACTCCTCACACTGTGGAAGCGTACAATCCTCTCCAGGCTTATTAGACCATTCATTTAGAAGACCTTATGGCCCTGATTACTTACTAGGGACAATTGGCAATCAGATATGGGATGAACTGTGGCTTAATCCTCTCGCTGGCTCTCTAATTATAACAGCAAATGGCTTCCAGTGGTATAATTCATGCTAAATTCTTGCCAGTGCAGGATATTAGATATTGATGTGAGAAAGGACTGATTGTTGCAGACAGGTCATTGGTGTTTTCTCAAAGTAGAGAGGGATGTCGGAGGAAGGAGCTGGGGGAAAGTAGAGGGAGAGGGAGAGGGAGAGAGGAAAGGCTCTGTTTCGATTGGCACTGAGGGAAATAAGGCCTGACATGGAAATGAGCAGCCATATATGTCCATCTTGTTGTCTCCCAACACAGGAAAAGATCTGATGGGCTTGAAACATCCCTGATGGTTTGGAGGTACTGTGTTTGTATCCTCAACAGGATAATAAAAGCTGCTTCTCTGTTTGGCTCATAATCCTTTTTGCCATTTTATGTTCGGAGTCTCTCTCTCTCTTTTAGTCCTTATTCAAGTACGTTTTTCTTTTTGCTCACATTTTGTCTTCTTTTTAACATATTCAAGTCCGTCTGTCCCTTTCTTTCTTCCACAATCTCTATTTCAACACACACCTCTTTGCTGCCATCTCTCATCCACCTTGGCTCTCAGCTAATGAGGATGGGCAGCACTGTTTTGTTTTTTTGAATTGGTGACAACGAGTCTCAATGCCAAGGCTACAAAATGTATCGGCTACTGTCATTGTACATATCTTGAATGAATTAATATCTGTTTGCCGATTTGCCCAGCAAATCAAAGATGTCTGGTGTCATGCTCAGTAACAGTTATTTCCCCCGGTTCGAGAAACAAGTGAACAATCATAGAAATGAAGGCAGGATTAAGATTGGGGACATCCTATTTATACATACAACTAGCTATAGCTACCTGGCTACATCCATGAGAAAAGTGATACAAAAAGAGGGGCAACCACATTTTCCACTTCTCATTTCTCCTGCAGAAAACAGGCATGAAATCAATGGGAAGAGAATGCCAGAAGGAATTTGGAAAATATTACATGTGGAGCAAAAGAGAGCTGGGTGAGTCATAGAAATACAAAGAGTAACCACAGCGGGAAGTAAGATAATTACAGAGTGAGAAGCCGCTCCACTGTTAGTCAAAGAAAAGAAGGAAGGAGAGGGCAATCTTATCACTTGTTGATGAGGAACGGTTTTCTCTGCACACGAAGCTAAAGTGTTTGTTTTAATGCTCTGAATCTTGTATAATCCACCTTTAACATTTCCTTTTAACTCCTGCTTTTTAGTCTCCCCAGTTATTTATACCACTACATGATTGCTGTATTTTTTGTATATTTCATTATAATTATGAAATTACATTTCAAAATGTCTCACTCTCAAACATGTGTTCTTATTAATAGTGCTCTACAAATATTGGCAAACATTAACCAAATGTAAAATTGAATTAAATGACCCAAGACACAGTGCAGCCTTGTGTCTTTCCTTTGACTCCCCGTCCTCCATCCTGTCTTTCTTTTTTTATACACCCACACATACACTAAAATACACATGCACTCAAACATACACACATGTGGCCATCTGTGTAATTTGTGTTCTACACCTCCATCCCTCCCCTCAGCCATCTCCCCTGCTGTCATAGAAAGGCTGCTTCCCAGCAGTTGGTTCTCGGAGGTGTAGAAGAGGAAAATAGAAGGAAGAGAAGGAGAAAAATAACAGTGGAGAGGAACAGACCCGGAGGGATTTACAAGAGAAAGAGAGGCGTCAGGTAAGCCATCAGGAGTTTCATCAAAGCTGCACTAGACAGCATTGCACACTGGCAAATGCTGACAGTTTTGTATTCAGTGTTACAGTTTGATTTATCATCTTTTGTGCTCAGTTTTCCTGTCAATGTACATACATGATAAAAAATAATTTGATATGAGCTGAAAGGACAAATGCATGTTTCACTCCTGGGGTCTTTCATGCAGCTCTACTTTGTGGAGATGTCTGATGTGTTTTAATATAAAAGTAGTGCCGTTCGAAAGCTACAAAAAGAAGAAAAAGAAGAAAAAGAGCAAAAACAAGTAACCTTCCAGTCTGCTGTTCACTGTTTTCTATTGAGTTTTAGTTACAATACAAAAAATCAGATTAAATAATAATTAATTTGGAAAATATACTGAAGTCAAACCTAAGTTTTTCATTGTTGTTACAGTTTTAAACTATACAACTATGAAAATACAATATCAAACAGTAATTTCCATTAACAGAAAAAATATATTACCTTCCATCCGAATCACAAATACATGACTTTATGCACTACCGATTACACACACTGGTGAGTCACTTCAAAACAAAGGATATTCTTACAAAAATTAAACCAGGATCTGATTTCTCTGTCTGGAAAAACTTGAATGACAAAAATAGATTGTTTGCCATGCAAGACCCTGCAAAACACATCATGTGTTCATATGACTGAAAAATAATCCATTCTCTAAATTGCCACTTACAGAACAACAAGGATTCAAAACCACGTTCTGTGTGACACATTGTGACCAAAGTTAACTGTTAGAAGACAGGATATGAACTGCCGTCTTTTGTGTCAAAGTCTGGCACTTTGTATACCCCAACCCTCCATCCCAGCCTGCTTCCAAGAGACTTTTCAGCGCTATAACTTCACGTTACTGCCGCCTTTGCCTCTGAGAGAGAACAGAAATGAATGTCATGCCCACGAGAGATCACTGGAATGGAAAACTGAAGCATAGGTTGTTTTTAGCATTTGAACAGCTAGAGAGAGAAAATCGTCCTTTTAATCTGATATTTGTGGGGATGTCGTGTTGCTATACAACCTCAAAAATGTGGATGTGTGTTCCCAAATTTGAGAAATGTATAGTAGGCTGTCTGAACCAATCATGTTTGTATTCAGGGTAGCCAGCAATAGCTAGAGTCTAATGTAAGAGACATGAAACAGACGAAAAACATGTACTCTAAATAAGACATGAACATTACACTTAGGCATATATACCGAAAAAGGTTCAGTGTCAAGGTCACTCTGTGATGGGCAGACTAACTCTCTCTGACACTCTACAGATGTAGCGCGTGTGTCCGTACTTTGCTCCAGCCTAGTTTCTCCCACCCATTTAGGGGGATGTCAGTTAAGTCCACCACCTCTTACTGCTGCTGGGGCACTCCCACTGCGTTTGGTTCATATAATATTCAAAATACTGAGCACAGTTCAATTATTTAGAAACAAATGTCTGGGTTATGGAATGCAAGTTGTGCCTCTCTCTCAGAGAGCTGCTTCAGAGCATAATAATCTGTCTGGCTGTTGTATTTGTTATTCAATGAACAGAAAATATGGCTCAACAGTGAGTCAGGTTTTTATTGTTTCATTAAAGACTCGTTAGGTCATAGGTCTGCAAATACATTTGTCATGCCAAATTAGTTTTTCTTAAGTACCTTTAATCCGTAAACATACACAGACACACACTCACTCACTGAAAGCAGACGTTGTGGCAGGCCATGCCTCTAAGCAGACACATGCTCATTGGACATGGACATTCATTCTCGATCACTAGTAAAAAGGCAATCACACACACACACACAAACACAAAACCCACACGCTCATCTTTGTTTAGTCTGGGAGCTGCTTTTGCTCCACAGCACTCCCTGCTCGCCAGTCCCAGTGAAACTGGGGCAATGTCCTGGTCAGATGTCATATTTAAGAATGGATGCCAAGGCACAGTGTGCTGCAGACAGCAAACTGTGCTCTGTGAGAGCAGGGAATACTAAACTACGAAGAGATGACGTTAAATACCAGCCTGTGTGCATTTCATGTGCACTTGCTGGCTACAAGTGTGTTTGTTTATTACTCATGTTTCTTCTACAGAGGCTGGACCTGCCAACATGCGCAGGATATGGTTAATTAAATCGTAGTAATGACACCGAAGCAGGCATACGTATATGTTGGTCTCAACAAAACTA